GCAAGTATTCATATTCTTATGTTTTTTCGGTAAAGTCACGTAGGTAACAATTTAAAATTAATAAAAGTAAAATACTTTTATTAATTTTAATAAAAGTACAATACTTTTATTAATTTTAATTTTAATTGTTTATTTTTGTTTGCATTTTGACTGCTTGTGTTGCGGTTATTGCAAACACGATCCCTTGTATAAAGGTGTCAGTTGTTGTACCAGATAAAAGGGTAAAAACCTATTACTATTACAATGCTACACATTGTTTATATTCTTTGTTTTTTTCGGTAAAGTCACGTAGGGAAAAAGTTAAATAAAGAAACTAGAATGAAAACAACTAAAATAAAATTGTATTTGATTTAATTTTATTTTAGTTGTTTTCATTCTATTTCATTAATACATTTTTTTTTACCTACGTGACTTTACCGAAAAAAACAAAGAGTACGAATCCTTGCAGTCACGAAAACTTCAAATCTAGAATTGTTTATATTGTTTATTATCCGATAACTGTCACACAAACAACTCAACAGCGCTCCACAATAACACCGTGGCCTCAAAAGGAAAAAAATTTACCCGTAAAAACAAAGTTTTTCACTATAAATCCTTTATATTCATGGCGGCTAGAGTCCTCGTCCTCTGGCTTGAGATGGCTACCACCTATGGGTCATATGATTGCCTGCCACCATTAAGCAATTGGTAATTAAATATAAAAAAAAAATCCTAAAAAGTGTAAAGTTATGAAAAAATTTTCAAAAAAATAAATTGTCACGCACAACGAGTCTGTGTGCAAAAATGTCAGCTCGATTGGATCACGGGAAGTGGGTTAAAAACGACCGAAAGATTTGCACGGTCGTAAGCGCACAAGCAAGCAAGCAAGTGAACTTAATATAAAGGATTTAAAAAAGTATAGAACATTTATCCATATCGGAGGTGCAGCTTCCGATTCCAACGGGGGTAGGCAATGCAATATACGACTATGGGCCTCCCTTCTTTCATCCCGACTCACTGAAATAGTTACGGATGTTTGTTTACCCGTAAAAAATAATAATACGTAGGCTATAACTTCATAGATTGTTTTAGTTGCATCGTGTATTGGGTTTAGGGGAAGAAAGACTAACAGTGGCAGTATATTCATTAGCTAACAATACTCACAATTAAGTTGCCGTGTGTCTGTCTTTGCTTTCATGCCGGCCCCATCGGTCTAGGATTTTTCTAACTTCATGCTGCTCTATTGATACCATAGACAGATGCGTTAATCGGGCTTGGCCCATAGTACACCGCAGATGTTTGTCATGAATACATTTTTCAAAGAACATTTCTTTAAAATGTTGGATTTGTTTATGTGTTGATTCGGGGGGGGGGGGTCTTCTTGTGGCCGACTGGCCCCCGATGCATTGCATAACGCTGCCAAATTTACTCACCCAAAGTCGCCCCCCCCTTGATCCGTATTGAAAGGATGTTCCCCGCGCCCCCTGCAAGTATTTCAAGGCAAGAGTTGGCAGCGTGAACATTTCTCACTTTTAGCCGAGTACCTGCGCTGGTGTGGGCACCCCTATTCCCGGCCTGGCAGCTATCTACAAGCACAACAATGGAACTCTTTGTGAGAGTGTTCCATTGCAAAAATAAAATAAAAAATAAAGCTCAAGGGAGTCGATACAACGAAGTGCAAAATGCACCGGGTGGAATTAAACACATTCCTGCGGAGGGAGCTGGTAGGAACGTTGGGTTGCTCGGTCAATGGCCAGGGTCAACGGCGGCGTGGTGTATTCCGCAAATATGCCCGACTGTGAGGGCGGGCACAAGCCGGCGTGAGTTGGTTAAACGTTGAGTTTTATAAGAGCACCACGGGGTGACCAGCCCCTCCCCACCCAGCCCCACCCCTCTCACCCAACCCCACCCAGCCCCACCCTCCCCACCCAGCCCCTCCCCATCCTCCCCACCCAGCCCCTTCCCACCCAGCCCCACCCCTCCCACCCCCACCCAGCCCCACCCTCCCCACCTAGCCCCTCCCCACCCTCCCCTCCCCACCCAGCCCCTCCCTCCCCACCCAGCCCCTCCCTGCACGACGGACGGACGGACACAATAATTCCCCGTGGGCTGGTGTAACCAGAAGGTTCCTACCAGTATTCACAATTCGCAATGTGTAGTCTCTAGCCCGCTCTTTGCGAGCAAATGGCTGTTTGTTATGATAATTCGGAGCACCAATTACCGTAATGTCAAAAATATTTCCGGCTAACTGAATTCATAGCCGAGGAATTAGGGGCATGTGAAAGATTTGTGGATGCCAGCGTGCTTACTGCAATGCCAATCTTCACGAATCTCGACGGATAAAAGGGTCCACTAATTAGCCACGCGTGGAAGCGGATCGTAACGCATCAGATTGCGTTAATGAGACTCGTGCCACACAGCAACAGAGCTTCTTATATGTTTAGTTGGAGGCGAGAAGAGGTGGATTAGCGGAACGGCGAGCTGTCGGAAGGCTGCGGAGTAAATATTCTGGGTTGGGGGGTTGACTCAGCTCATCATCCCTACAGGGTTGATACAATTAATACCACTTTGTGGGTAAGTCAACAGTGGTTGTTGTATGGATAGTTCGTCACCCCCGCTATATATGAATGCGGAATTTCCACCGCTTGCTGAGGGCTATGAGAAATAGATAACTTTCACACATGCAGTGGAGGAACGCTCTTTTGAAATTCAAATGATCAAACACCAGGTTGAATGATTATTTTGTGTTTTGTATTGTTACAAATATTTTGTCGAACTATGATCAAGAACAGATCCTGTAAAAATAAAAGTACATGTTTATTGCCTTTAAACATCACACAGTTTCAGCCAGCATTAATTAGCAAGCCGGCCAGCATCTCCTGATGAGACACTGAATATGAAAACTGCTCCAGAGTTTTGTTTGTGTTGAACCGACGCTGCTGCTGACGTGCACTGACTACTGAAGGCCGTCTGGTCGATAGGTTTTGTAAAATACTTTAACTTTTAATTTTTTTACGTGCAGAGAAAAATGTGGTGGGAAGGAAAACGTAATTTGTTTTGCCTATTTACATGCACCGTTTAAACAAAAACTATTTGTCTGCGCTGCGACATTGTCTGGAGGCCAACTCGTAATGCATGCTAATACCTCAATTACATCTCTTGATCCATACCATTATTTCATTTCCATTTAATTAATTTACTTGTATCTATAATCAAAATTAATTACGGTATATTTATTCCTGTGCGAGGGAGCTTTGTTTTTGCAAAACTGACTGAACGCTTCTTCTTGGTTCTTTCGGTAAAGTCACGTAGAAGGGAAGTAATAAAATAATAAAAATAAAACATAATAAAATAAAATAATTCTCACGAAGTTTTATTTTATTTTATTATTTTTATTTTTATTATTTTATTACTTCCCTTCTACGTGACTTTACCGAAATAACCAAGAAGATGAATCCCTGCAGTCACGAAAGCTTTAAATCGAAATTTGACTGAACGCTGTAAGTTATTATTTTGCTAGATTGGCAATGTCGTTTTCTCATCTACGTATTTAGTTGCATCAACCACCTCTGTGGCCTGGACTCCTTTAACGGACGAGGAATCGCAAAAAACGACACGAACTCTCTCCTGAAGCGTTCCCGTTGTGGCCGGCAGATCTCGACGTTGACATTTAGCTCCTGAACTTATTGCCGTATACGCAAGAATAGAAAGGTTTCGATTTAAAGCTTTCGTAACTGCAGGGATTCATCTTCTTGGTTATTTTCGGTAAAGTCACGTAGAAGGGAAATAATAAAATAATAAAAATAAATCACCA